TTATTTTATCCTAATAATTCCTTTCCTCTTAAACCACCTCCATAATACTAAGTGCAGGATGCCAGTTACTTCAACCACAATTATTTAATAAAAACAATTTAGGCTATGTCTGACATTTGTGTGAGTCAGAAAAAAAATAAGCATTACTCAAATAATTCAAAATCATCCTAATGTATTTATTTATATGTTAATTGCCATGGAGTTGGTTCAGACATGTAGTGAACTTGTATAGAATTTCTGAGGAGCGGCTGGTGAGTTTAATTTAGTTCTGCAGATACCTTATAAATTATATGTATTTTACAAATACAAGCAGAATAGTATTTATTGGATATCATACAGCTCTTTATAACCAGACAGGTATCACTGTACAAAGCTCAACTCAATAGCTTCCCCTTTGGTTTTCTGCAATGAAAACTACTTATTAGTCTGAAGAAGGGACCCATCAAAAGCCAAAGTGGGCTTCCAATTTGTTCTCTCTAATATTTACCACCTTTAAAGTTGGCCCAAATGAGTCTTAATTGTTCCTGATGGTTCCTAGTACTTACTTGGTTAGTTATTTATGACATTTAATCTTTAACTAAATATTTTACTTTCTTCTCTCCTTCCCTGAAAACCAGAAAAAATGTGTTCATTTTTTTGTTTTTTTTGCTTAGGTTATTTTTATTATAATATATGAGAGGGTTTCAAAATGTTAGTGGGAAAATACCATTTTTAATTTCATGTTTCATGAACTTTTTGAAGCCCCCTCATATACGATGTCAAATAATTCCCACCATCCTTATTTTTTACCTTCTTATGATACTTTTTTTGTTTTTGTTTTTGACAAGATTTCTCCACATACACTTGATAATCAATGAGGAAATATCAGCCTATATTTAGCTCCTTCGTGCAATCAACAAAAATTTAATTCTTTATTTAATTTCTCTCTCGTCTTTTCTTTTCTTTTTTTTTTTTTTTAATGTGACATTCCAAGTAAAGTCAAATCAAATCAAAACTCATCCTTTTCCTGATGAGCGTATTTCTTTCCACAGACAATTTATCTTCTCCCACAACTCTACATGCCTGCAAACTTATTGTAACTATTTGTTTAATCTCCCTGTAGTGTCTCTTTTGGGGACTCTTTAGTCACTTTCATGAAAATATAAATCAAATTATGTGTTGAATTGCATATGCTTTAGTTTATTAGTAGAGTTAAACAGTAGAAGTGGCACCTGGTAAGACAAAGCTAGATTACGTTCCCCCAAGAGAAAAACTATCCTTTTAAATTTATTTACCTCAAATATATTAACTTCCACCATTTACCATTTACCTCTTCCTATCCAAAGTTCTAGGAGTCCTGGTGTGGCTTTTTTGGTTATTGTCTCAACTGCAAAGTCATTTGAACTTCAAGGTCAGTGGTGCAAGCTCACTAGCTGCTCCTCAGAAACACTACACAGGGTCGCTATGGGCCGGAACCTACTCAACAGCACTTATCAACAACAATAAATCCAAAGTTATAATTGTAGCTCACATATGTATGCTTTGATAGAAAAATAGCTAGATAGAATCAAATATCATTAACATTCTATCATATACCTTTATAAGTGGGTATGGTCTTCAAATTGAATATATGTATTTCCTATATTAAGGAGCTCAGGTAGCATAATGGTTACGAATTGGGCTGCTAATCTCACGGTCAGCAGTTCGAAACTACCAGCTGTTCCATGGGAGAAAGAAGAGGCTTTCTGCTCCCGTAAAGATTTACAGCCTTGGAAACCCTGTTCAGGGTCGCTATGAGTCAGAACCAACGCCACGGCACATAACAACAACAACATTTCCTATATTAGTGATAAAAAACGACCAATAAATGCACATGTAATTACTGTCTTATTCTTTGAAAAAAACCTTTCTCAACCCCAAATTGAACACTTTCATTAAACTTCTCTGTATGCTTTTTCCAGTCAGTTTTTAATGGTAAAATATACTGCTCCAACGGAACTGAACCAATAACATGAATACAATCTGGAGACAACATAGCTTTCATCAGAGTTCAAGACCTTAATTCACAGCCCTCTTAAGTCAATCTTTTAAAAAGCATTATTGAAAAGATACCTTATGTGCTAAATTGAAACTTTACAACTCAAAATCAAAACTCAAGAGATTTTAATACTGCTTGGAGACTGCTGAAAATTAACCAATTCACTGAATAGAGAAATAAAGGAAACATATGATCTTAAATTACATATAAAGTTATATACAACAGTATATCTCTGCTATTGACGTAGCAAATACAACTTACCTTCATTCCTTGCGAGGTCTGCCAGTAAGTAGATCAGGGAATGTGTTTGAAATTAATGTGATTGATACATTACAACTATAAAAGACTTCCAAAGTGTGGACCTGTGTAAAAGTGCCATACATATCAGATATTCAGCCAATTGCCTTATGATGGACGTATGGTAGATGCATAAGTATTCTTGAAAGTGACGCTAACCATCTGAAATTTATAAATATTCAAACTTTTACTAAAAGCAGCTTGTATGTGAAATTTAAATGACATACAGTACACCAAAAAAGGCTCTATTCCAAAGTTCTACAAAAAAAAAAAAAAAAAAATGTATTTACAGATGACATTAGCTAATCAAAGATATCTAGCATTGTCTGGAAAATTTAATGGCATGCCACGACTTTGTATCACAGTCAATATGCATAAGAGAACCCATAATTATTATTCTAATAATCAAGCCAAAAGCAAAGAAGTAAAGGAAGCAATATAAAAATGAAACAGAAAAGGCAAAGGAAAATTCCACAAAAACATTTATGATATAATTGAAACAGTTTGAGAAAACAGTTAAATCCCTGAAACTTTTTCTTATTATTATTACAAGCAAGTTCTGATGATCACTAAAATGTCTTGGTGATTTTGTAGCTATCTCAGACCCTTGCAAAAAAAAAGGCTTAATTGAAAAGTATAAGAGTTACAGCAAAGCCTCAGACAATCTCTCCATCATGGAAACAGCTTGGAAGCAACAGTCAGTGTATCCCATAGCATCATCTAGGTGGTCACTCTGCCTGAAAGTCATGTCTTTTGTATTCATAACAGCTGTGGGATGAAAGGCTGCGTACTGAACAAAGCTCAGAGGCTATTTCCCATTTCGTTCACGAACACCAAACTCCTTGATGAAGACTTCCAAAATGCAAATATTAGCTAGGATTCTCCGATAGATTTGATTTCACACAAAATTAGTACCAAGCTTATATCTTTGATGTGCAAAATGTCTACACTAGTTAACAATAACAACTTTTCCCCACAAAAACTTTTCTTTTCCCCAGAAGGTCAAAGGATACAGCAGATCTGTAAATACTAATATACATATTACAAAGATGAAGAATTGAAGGATCATAATCAAAAGGATCAAATGATCAGAAAAATTAGAACCTATGAAATCTTTGGAAAATAATCTTCATTTGGAAGTATTTTGAAAGTATATAGCTAGTGGATACTAAAAACACATTTTATCTATGAATTTTTACACTTTGACTATCTTTGCAATATAATTTTAAAATAAGAATTTAAAAATATCAAATAGAGTTATATATTAAGCTAAAGTGCTTGACTTTTTACATATTTTTATCATACAACATATACAATTAAACTGTTGTAAGATCATAAAAATCCAATCTCTATTATCCATGATTTTGTTGTATAGCTGTGCTGCATTAAAGTACAGTTTAACATCTAGGTAAGCATAAACAATAAAGCAAGCACAATTTGTAACCAAAACATTGTTGGTAAGAAAGTGTACAGTCCCAGTTTTATTTGTTATGACCATTTTAGCTAATGAATTTGAGTGGCTATTCATTTTAAATAATGAATAATTTACTTATAAAAGTAAGAGAATATATATATGGTATGTATGGTGTGAAGAAGAAATGCATTTAATTACTCTGGCAACATTTGTTTTCCATTCTTAATTATTCCCCAAAGATTTGTTTCTAGATATATGCGGTGGTGGTTGTGTGCTGATGAGCCAGTTACAACATATAGCAACCCTGCATAGGGATGCTGAGGTTGTAAAACTTTACAAGAGCAGAAAACCTCATTTTTATCCCACTGTAGATTCCAGTTGCTGATATTTCAGTTAGTAGCACTACTTGTAACTCAGTATGCTACCAGGGCTCCTTAGATACAAATAGTTGTTGTTGTTGTTGTTGTTGTTGTTAATTGCTATTGAGTAGGTTCCAACTTGTAGTGACCCAGTACAGGGTTTCTAAGTAACAGCTACTTTCTTAGTGGGTTTGACCCACCAACCTTGTGGTTTGCAGTCCAGTGCTTATCCTACAGAGAAATATCAGGACATAAATTCCAAGAAGATAGCTATAAACCAAATCATGATTTGCCCTGTATGATAATGTTATACTATTTATCTTGCCTTGACAACCTTCAGGTAAAGGGAGACTTCTATTACTTAATGTGTAGTTAACCGTTACTTAAGTGATAATTCTGTATGATAAGCTCTGGACTTGGAACTACAAGGTTGGTTCCAGCCCACCAGTCACTTCCTGGGAGAAAGATGAGGCTTTCTGCTCCCACAAAGATGTACAGCCTTGGAAGCCCTGTACAGGTTCACTCTGACTTGAACCAACTCTTGGCACTTAACACCAACAATCACTTACTTCCGAAAGAGCTGGATCCTAGGTAGCACTTAGGTTAGATGGAAACAGGTAACTGTCTGGAGAGCTTCTAGAGTCTTCTTACAGAGGAAATCACAAGTAAAATTCCAATTCTTGTAACTAAGAAAGTACATCAATTAATTCTATTACTAGGATCAGTGAAGGGAACGCGGTGGCTCCATAGAGAAGCACTGGACTGCGAACCACAAAGTCTGCAGTCCAAGCGGCCAGTCACTCCATGGGAGAAAGATGGGGTTTTCGGCTCTCAGAAAGATTTTAAAAGCCTCAGAAACCCTCCAGAGGGTCACTATGAGTCAGAATTGACTGCACGGCATTTAACAACAACAGGATCAATGATACACAATGGAAAGAAAAAAGTATGTTCTGTTTTAAACTCTCTCAAGAAAATGCTGATGGCAATGGCTTGATTAGTGGTGTATTTGAATATGGTGACCGACAACTAGAAATAGTAATCCAGCGAGCAAAGAAAAAAATATCCCGGCTGGGGCTAAAAAAAATGACCAGCCATACAGAACAGAAGGGGTGAAATCGGAGCAGTCTTTGAGCTTCATGTTTTTGTAGCTGTCCATGTCGGCCACCGCCTGGACCCAGATGACATACAGTATCACCACCAGGGAAAAGAGGATGCCTGAGAAGGACAGAACAAAGGACCTTTAGATTTCTGAAGACAGGTTTTCCCAAGAATTCCCAATACACCTATCAAGTACCTGATAAAACACCTTTAAAATAAAATTCTAGGTGGATCACATATGTTGTGGCAAACTTTTTTTTTTTTATGTAATTCATGTGCATACCCTAGTTTATGTCTAATTTTCAAACTGTCAAAGTGAGGGCTATAAAATCCTATGGAAGCATCGTGGCATTATGTTTTTTAATCCTGACCATGTGCTAAATCCCTAGGTGGAACAAACGATTTACATTTCACTGCTACCTAAATGTTGACTGAAACTTACCCACTGATACCTCAGAAGAAATCCCTGGGGATCTGCTTCTGCCAAAATTACAGCCAAGGAAGCTCTATGAAGTAGTTCTACTCTGTATCATGTGGGGTTACCATAAATTGGAATAAACTCGACAGCAACGACTTTGGTTTTTCAGGTTTACTGTGTACCAAAGAATCAATGATCCCTGTCATTGTGGGACTAACACTTGTCCATCTTTTACTCTATGTCTGGTTTACGATGAGTGCTCTAAATATTGTTAGTTTTAATAGGTACAGTCATCCAGTGAAATAGGACTGTTATTTTCCTGTATTAGACATGGGTAGACACAATGAGTAGTTTTCAGAGCTGACTAGTGTTGTGTAACTATAACAGAGCTCACTAGTTCTGTAATTAAATGTGGTCATGAAAAGGGAACCCAATGTAAGCACCAAACAAGAACAGCAATGAAAACACCAAAATAACACAATAGTATATGCATGGTTCTTTAAAATTGGAATATATCTGCTAAAGATTGATTACAGCTAGCATAAAAGAAATAATTGTCCTGAAAGAGCGAGGGAGGGAGATTGATGATAAAAGATTCTGAGCATTGTAAAGCCTCAGATTTAAGATCAAGAGACTAATTAACCAAACAGACAAAAATGCCTAACCACTCACTAGAAGAAAACATCACGATTTATCAACACTTTCCATGTGGCTGTGATTCAACAAATCAAACACATTTTTGGAAGTAATAAGAATGGAGAAAATAGTATAGTAGTGGGTCCTTGATCTTAATAAACAGCATGGCGAAAGAACTCTGTGAAACCTAAAAGTCTGAGATTAGGGTTAGAGTGAGGGTTAGTTGTCCATGTAACTGTTCCTGTGAGTACCAGAAGAGAACAATGTCACAACACAGAATGCCTTGGGTTGATTTTCAAGTTAGCACCATACACATACCACACAACTTGAGAGATCCACACTTGTCCCTAAACATAATATATTTAAGGTCACTTGCTGCTTGTCCAAAAGTTCAATTCAAACATGCCAAAGATCTATTCTACTCTTTGAGTAATGAGCTCAACTGTTAAGTATAAAATCTCCATACTCTAATTGCCAGCATGTGGGAAAGATAAACACAACCCTGTAACTTGGGGCAGAGACTGTGGTATTATGGCAGAAGAGAGTTGCTTTCAAAACCTCAGTAATCAATCACACTTCTCAAGTTAATTGTGCTCCTACAGTATTTAGGATGTCCTCTCTGTCATGAGCCATCAATTTCATAAAGAATCGTGAGGTATAAACATGAATAAATAAGGGCTCATAAATATGTCTAAGTGTGTCAGAATCAGAGCTGGAAATTTCTCATCATCACGATACAAGCTACACAACAATGAAAAATCCACCTATGTAGATTATAAGAAATTTTAAGTGCTTTACTAATAAGATACATCCTTCATTCTGTAGTCTGTAATGTAAATGCAAATACTGGAGCTCAGATTAAAGTAATGTAACCATTGAACAACTACTATATCATAGAGAAATAGTAGAGTCATAGCCAGGGAGCAAACTACTTACAAAACCATACCTCAGATTTTGACAACAATATGGCAATGCCATGTGTTGTCTAGCAACGCTGTGCATTTCAATTCATGAGTTTCAGCAAATATATAGGCAATGTGGTCTGTTAGTAAAGAGGGCTGGCTTAGCCATTTGCATAATGCCATTTGCCTTTATGCACACACCTTGCAAACCTCTGTTCTTATTTGTTGACATGATTTTTATCTCTCTTGAAACATGTAAATCTCTTGTGCTTTCAAATATTGTTATGAAATAAAAAGAAAATTGCCTTTGGGAAAAGCCTTCCACACATTTTTTTTTTTTTTTTTTAAGTTGCAAAATCCATGACTGAATTTAGAGAATTTAAAAAATACATTGTAGGCAATCAGGTAGATGATTCTTAATAAGGGCAAATTAACTTACATTTAAATATTGCTATTATTCGAAGCAACATTTAAATATCAGTTAATTCTTCTAAATTGCTATTATTATTTGCTATCATTACAGTCTGAAGGCAATGGAGAATAGTCATTTCTATCATGACAGTCTTTAACTTGTTCACTAATTGAAGATACAGTCCATTTAGTTCATATCAGATCAGTTTATGATTATATCTCACCCATGGGGTAAAATAGTCTGTGCTCCTCTATCCATTAAATTGCCAGTATGTGTGTGCTTGTTTGTGTGTATGTAAAAAGAGAACGAAAGAAAATGAATGGACTTGAAAGAATTATTTACACCAAGGTCAACAATTTAGCAGATAAGGCAGCCAGAATCTATGACTGGGGCCTGCATGAGATATATGACTAAAAGAAGAGTCAGGAAAGTATTATATTTGGGTGGAATGATCAAATAAATAAAAATTTTAGGCTAGTTGAAGACATGTTTGTCACTGTCAGAGCAGGAGTTAAAACTTTGCAAAGTAGAGAATTTATCACGAACCTTACAGTACTCAGTTGGAATCAGTGTGAATTCATGGTTTCAGTAGATCGATAAAGAAGCTGATATAGATTATAAATACATGCATGTGTATACACCTGTAGAACATATATTTTCTTGTTATGTGCCCTGAAAGGATAAGAGAGAAGTAACATTCAAATAGCATAGCACACATGAAGAGCTTGGTTTCTAAAAACCATACTCTACTAAGTTGAACCAGGACTCTTCCAATAAATAGTTAAAACCAGATCATGGCAAGAAAGTACAAGTTGAGCCTGGAACATCATGTTATACCAGAAAATTAAGGTATTCTCAAAGAATTGTGAGCTCATTTCAGAAGCCAAATTGAAGGGGGTTCCTCTAGCTAAATCTGAAACAGTTTAGTCATCAAAAGAATAATAATCATGGTGTTGTTGCAGTTGTTGTAAAGTGTCATCGAGTCAGTTCCAACCCATAGCAACCCTGTATAGGGTTTCCGAGGAGCAGCTGGTGAGCCTGAACTGCTGACCTTGCAGTTCAAAACAACTTTGCAGTCCAGCTCATTAACCCACAACTTTGCAATCCAGCTCATTAACCCACAGCGCCACACCAGGACTCCAACAATAATGATAGTAACACAGTATATCTCATTGATTACAATAGAAATCCATGAATCCACATTGATACAAAGTAAATAAACGAGACAGGAAGCTTCCCTTTAAGCTGAATGTATAAATGTACAGGAAATAGTGGAAATTAGAAATCACCATTTGGTAATCACTAAAGTAATAATTCAGGCAACAAACAAAAATGGATGCTAAATGAGCTAAGTGGGACAGAGGTAAATAATGATGTTTGCACAACCTTGGACCAAGAGAGCTCTGGGATACAGGGACTGAGGCATGGTTGGAATGGGCAAAAATGGGGAAACAATGTTAAGATGTATGGCTGTCTTTTGAATGTTGGTTTCCCTTGCATACCATTATAAAATACACACTTGAGGGAGAGAGAAAGGAAAGCCAGAAATATCACCATAGAAAGCTTTTAAGTCTGTCTTCTGCCTATAACTAACTGATTGGAATACCTAAAATGGGGCTACAACATGCCCATACATAAGCTCATAGGTGGAATCCTGAACCCCATCCAGAATCTTCAGAGGTGGGAAATTTCCACTTGAAAGAACAAGCAGATGGCTGTCTTCTGAATCTTGGTTTTCCTTGCATTATATTATAAAATAGACACTGGAGGGGGAGAGAAAGGAATAGCGAAAAGCATCACCATAGAAAGCTTGTAAGTCCATCTTCTGCCTATAACTGATTGGAATACCTAAAATGGGGCTACAACGTGCCCAGTGAAGGAGGCTTCCTATG